TGATCCGGGTGCTCCGGTAAGTTTCTTGAGGCATATCGATGATGCTGCGAGCGTGCTGACGACTCTGCGTAGACTTTGATCGATTCTCGAGGGGTGACTCGGGGCGCGTATCGTGGATTTGGCGATGTTTACACGTGGGATGTGCCGGGCAGCGCGCTGAAGCAGGGAGCGAACACCCTCACGCTCGGTGTTCTTGGGATGGGGGACACGGCTTTCTTGAGTGCGAATTACATTGTTGATGCGATTGAGCTCCAGGGTAAGGCGGGTCCCGATAGCCCCAGGTAAGCACGGGATTTTCGACGTCATGAATTCATGTAAATATTTCTGTGATAAGCCCCGTCAGATGGCAATTGGCCATATCCTTCGTCCATGCTGTGTAAGACATCGACTGGTGGCTTGTGCCGATCTAGTGAGAAGTCGAATATGTCGGTGGCCGAGTATCTCAAAGAATGGATCAAATGTTAAGAGACTCGTCTGAGCTGAGTAAAAAGAGAGGCCGTATTGGGATGACCGAAAAGAAAAGAAAAAGACACGAAAAAAGGGACTCGAACCCAGAGGCTCCAGCGGCGGTTAAGCATGATCTCTGTGTTCAGCTGGCATACTAGTTCTACCATACTGGGCATATTCACGGTCACTTATTCGGAGCGCTGTTGCTGAGGCTGGAACACAACCTCCTCATATACCTACGTCTCACCATCGCTCCTGCCTTCAGCTTTGACGAAGGTGAAGATGAAGGTGAAGCCCAGCGCAGCGGGTTCAGAGGCAGGTGCAGCGTCATTGGTGGGTCCGTCGCGTGTAACCGCGGGAGCGCAAGCAAGTGCGCCTGGGAGTCCGTGCTCGGCTTAGTCATGCGAGCTCCACCGTAACTTTTGGACAGCTTCGCAACTCCTTTTCACATCTGCCACCCGAATCGTGAACCCGGCAGAATTCAGGATCGCGACGAACCTCAGTTCCCAGTCACTCCTTTGCCACCGCCAACTTCATTTCGACGCAGCCAATTTTCGACAAACGATCACTTTTAGTTAAGGCAGCCGTAACCATGACCCGCGCCCAGCAGACCATCTCCCTCGCGCTCCTCGTGAGCTCGGTATGACCCCTCCCTGGTATCCCACCTCGAACCCGTAAAACAGTCACTGATCGATGAAATACGCAGCTCTACCTCGCCCTCTACCTCCAGCTCATTCCTGCTCCCGCCAAGGTTCAGGAGCAAATCATTCCTGTCGTACGTCTGCTCTTTCCCTCCAAGACTCAGCCCGCAGCTTTCTGGCGGCGCCAACCCCTGCGGCCTCCTTGCAGAAGGCCACCTAGCTAACAAACATCACGCAGCTTCCCTTCTGGGCTCTCGTTTCCTTTGGCGCATACCTCCTCGCCCGACTCGGCTACAACGTCATGACCTTCAACGATGTCCCCGAGGCGCACAAGGAGCTGATGGCGGAGATTGACGAGGCTAAGGCCGACCTGCGGAAGCTGGGTGTCGATGTCGACTAAGGAGCTATGAGGGGAATGGATACCAAAATACCACATGTACGGTTGCGATCGATGCGATTTACTACGACAGGAATGGAGTCTCGGGGTAGATATGGCGAATCAACTCAATTGATGGTGTTCGCTTCCGCATGGCTGAGAACTACAGGACGATGTACCACAATCAGTGCATGCACGAGCGAGTCTCCAATGCTCTTGAGCGAGATTCCGATGCTTTTTTGGGGCACTGATGCGATGTCTTGGGTGAGAGGCCACCAAATGCATTCAATTTAACCAGCCACCGCCATCTACCTAATCTAGTCGAGGCAGCCCGTGGTCTGCAGCCCAGAAATCTCCAGACAGTCGTTCTTAAAGTCGTTCTCCCTCGTCTCGTCGGCGGCGATGATGCACTGTCAGGTCGTGAGCACATGCCACCCCTTTGGCGAGCATATGTATGCAAACTTACCGCGTTGCCTCCTACTTTTTGTTAGCTGTCTGATCTGCGCCCGTGAAGATGACCATCAAGACTTACTCATGAATCCTTGATCCGCACACGCCTGTGTCGTCCAGCCCACGTCGACCCGCTCCTCCATCGGAGGCGCGCCCTCCGATAGATCTTGCTTGGAGCAGAAACATCTTCTTTCGCGCTGCGCTACCACTGTCGCGGCCAGCAATGTGCTGTTCTTCAATTCAGCACGGCACTCAGTCGGTGTTATGGAGACATTCTTACATGGAAGAGAGGATCTTGGCTGCGGACACCATCTTGACGTGAGACACTGCGTGCGATGCGAAGAGCTGGACAGATAACTGTTGGAAGGAATCGTGGTGATTAGTGAACTCTACGACTTGGAAAGTCCTCGCCTTTTAATATTCCATTCACGATCAATTGACTTTGGCAGACACGGCCACTTTGCGACGTCGTCGACAGACAGTTTCCATGTCGCCAAGTCGCAGTAATATCACAAACATTTCGCATCCTTCAACGCCCTACATTGCGTTAGCGAGAACGAAATCACCAGCCACCGGGGGCCTATTTACAGCAGACCCAAGTAGTCGGATCGATCGCCCGCGTGGCGGTTCAGACGATGCCAAGGCCGGTCCAGCGCTGCGTGTCAAACCTTATTCCGACTTTGACGCTTCACGATGCCCTTGCTTTGAGTCAGGAACGAGCTGGCAAGCTTGCTGAGTTTGAAGCCGGGATGAACCAGCCTCATTTTCGGGCATCGTCTGCTTTGTCTTTGCGACTGGGCGACGATCAAATCCATGCTTGGCCTTGGAGAATCGGATCGGTATCTGAGTCGATCTGGCGGACAACGCTCTCCAGGCGAGAATTAACACGTTTGGCGTGGCTGTGCCTTCTCTCCTCCAAATTGTTGCCGTGTCCTTGGCCGTGTCCTCGCCGTCGGCTTGCCCGAGGGATCGACGCAACATGCCGCCGGCAAGCATTGCCTGCTCCCGACGTCTTGGGCCGCTGTAAACTGAAACACCTACCTTTTAAACCACAAAGAGCGAAGTAGACCTCGCGAGTCTGAGTGTCCTAGTTCAGAACCTCGGTAGTTTATTTCATCGCATGGTAGGTTGCTGCGCTGTCAAGTGGACACAACGTAGAATGAGAGGCCCACGATGAAGACAGCAGGCCTGAATTATTCATCTTCTAGCAGGAAACCCTTTTCCTTCTGCCAATTGCTGCTAATTCTGGGCTGGTCGTTGAATGGCTTTTTCAGAAAAGCCCATACGTAACACAAATTCTCTCAATTGCTCCCCCGCGTTCCCGCACATGAGAAGCGACCTTGGGAACCATTAAATGTCCGAACATATCGTATCGACAAGCACACTGAATGCGGGGTTAGCTGTGTGACTGAACCTAATCCTTGCAATGATGCAACCACGCATACCGTATCTTTTCCAGCACCCTCCCTCTCCTCTCAGATAACGCTTCAACTGTCGAGGGGCCCTTCTTTGATAATTACGTGGGGGCGAGAGTTCACCTCCGATTGGGGGTCATTGTTGCGCTCGGGCAACGTTATCGGCCAACTGGGGCATCCGTTTACCGGAGCCCTGGATCATCGGCTGCCGTGCCCGTCTGCAGCCGGCGACATCACCACATCTTCGTCATATAGAAGCAAAAAAGGGCTGTGATTCTGCGAGATACACACCCTCAAGCTCAAACAAGCAACCTAATCGGTACCCCTTGCCCCTCACATACCTCTACTTCCACCAGACCCCATCATGCCTGAACCGCCGTACCCCCTGCACCCGTCGGTCCTCGACCGCATCAACCCGGAGTACAAGGACTTTTACAACAAATTTGTCTTTGACAAGCAGGTCGTGCATCACCAGCCCATTTCGGCGTCCAGGGCCAGCGGCACTCTCATCCCCGGTGCCGGACCGAAGCTCGAGGTCGCGAGCGCGCAGGACTTTCACATCCCACGGAAAGAGACGACCGGGCCCGATATCTTGGTTCGTGCATTCACGCCTTTGGGGGAGAAGCCTGAGAAGGGGTGGCCGCTGTGCATCTGGTTTCACGGAGGCGGGTGGGTGTTGGGGAATATTGACACTGAGAACGTGATTGCTACGAATTTGACCAACCGCGCGAAGTGCGTTACGATCTGCGTGGACTACCGGTAAGTTCCCCCAAGCCTTTCAAAGTGAGTTGCGACTAAGAACATCCCCAGACTGGCCCCAGAAGACCCCTTCCCCGCCGCAGTCGACGACTGCTGGGAATCCCTCCTCTGGGCCATCTCCGCCGGCGCCTCCAAACTCAGCCTCGACACCTCCCGCATCGCGCTCAGCGGCTCCTCCGCCGGCGGCAACCTCACTATCGTCCTGTGCCAGCGCGCCACCACGCGCAGCGACATCCCCAAGATCGCGGTCCAGCTGCTCTCGGTCCCCGTCGCCGACAACACCGCCGTCGTTGAGTCTTCCGCGCCGGAGCACGTGTCGTGGCGCGAGAACGAGTTCACGCCCGCGCTGCCGGCCGAGAAGATGCTGTGGTACCGCTACCACTACCTGCCGCGGCGCGAGGACTGGGCGCACCCGGAGGCGAGCCCGTTGCTGTGGCAGGGGGATTGGGCGAAGTTGCCGCCAGCGAGTATTGTGGTTGGCGAGCTTGATGTGTTGCGGAGCGAGGGCGAGGCGCTGGGGAAGAAGCTGGCGGACGCGGGGGTTGCGGTGGATTTGCATGTTATGAAGGGGCAGCCGCATCCGTTTATTGCGATGGATGAGGCGTTGGAGGATGGGAGGAGGGCGATTACGCTGTTTGTGGAGAAGTTGGTTGAGTTACTCTAGAATTTGAGGAATTGGGATATACTGCTCTGAATATTCACTTGCTCCCGGATGACTCTGACTATAACGTCGGGAAACGTTCATAAAGCCTTTTGCTGAACTCACCGAGCGCATCTTCAGCGTAATGAGTTGTTGAAGCCATAGCCGGCTGGGGAAGTCTTCATTATAAGATTCATTGAGATATCTGAGGGAACAACATTTTTGAACTTTTACATTTGTTACTAAATCTGCTTTTCAGCACGCCAACTAGCTTACAACACAGCGATGCACTCAATCTCAACATCAACGTTGAGAGGCAGAGTCTTGACCGCCACACAACTGCGCACAATTCATCAGTAAACAAGCAGAATTCAATCATCAAGCAACTCACGTTCTAGAAGGCTTGATATCGCCCCAGTATGTGCAGTAGACCTCGTTCATGGCCGCAAAGTCGTCCATGTTGGCCAGGAAGACGTTCACCTTGACAACCTTGTCAATGGTGGTACCGGCACCCTCCAGGATCGCTGTAAGGTTCTTGATGCATTGGTGCTGCAACCACAGATTAGCTACCGCCAAAATATCCCATCGGGACTTGCCAGTAGGGGTTTCATGCACGTACGGTGTGCGCCTGGATGTCACCGTCAATGATCTTCATAGACACAGGGTCCATTGGCACGGCGCCGGAGCAGAAGACCATGCCATTGGCGATGATGGCCTGGCTGTAAATGCCCGGCAGGGGCTTGGGAGCCTTATCGGTGAGGACGGGGGTCTTGGTAGAGGACATCTTTGTTGGTTGTTGGTGGGAGGATGGTGTGCTAGGTTAGGCAAGGGTTGTTGATGCAGGTCATAGTTACTTGGGTGGTTGTGTTGGTTGTTTGACAGTAGTAGTCAAAGGCCTTTCTTGAGAAACTCGGATTCTACATCAGACGCATGCTGCCCGCCGAACTGGCTCAGCAGCATGTCCGTTGTCGGAATCGGAGCACTGCCCGCGGAGAGTTGAGGTATGATCGTCCTATCAACTCAATTCCCCGCACGGGACTTGCATGATAAATGGTTCCCCCCCCTTATCTCTTCTCGATATCTGTTGGCTGTGGATCTTCCCGTATGTATGACACGAACCCCTAACCAACTTTCAAAAGTAACGTTGAATGAAGGATTGAGTGCTACCGACAAGAACGGTTTCTGGGCCCATAAGCCTGTCATTCGCGACCCCCACGGAACGGCCCCTCTTTAGCCGGTCCTCCATCGGTTCCTAATGCCGGTTTGATAAAGCTTCACTTGACTCCACCCGCACCGATACGACCGTTGCAGGTCAAGCTTGAAGTCACGGGGCGATTGGGGAAAATGCGGGGTGGTAGCTGACCTCGAGAATGGATGCGAGCTGCTCTCGCATCGTTGCGTAAAGGGTTTCGTCAAAATCCTGGAAATGGCATCCTTCCGTTTGGCCGTCCTGTACGTGGTCAGCGTTCGCCCAGGTATGCGACCGTCACGGGGCGTCAATCCCGGCCAAGTACGCAACAGCCGGGAGCATAGCTTGAGAGTTGAGACCAGGAAGAGAGCTTACTCTGCCGATCGACCTGGGGTTAAACCGAGCCTGTCCCTTGAGGAACTAGATATCCCTGAAATATTCCTTGGAGAAGGCCCACAGCTAGTATCACCCTTATCTTTAGCTGCCTCTACATACCCCAACACCACGCGCGAAAAGCAGCCGAGGAGATCCTGCCTTGCGTATTAGCCGACCAGCGTGATAAGATATGCTGTGACGTTCGACTTGGGGAAGCGATAAGCACTCCGATTGAGTGTGACCCCAAATGTGACTTTATCTACGCAGGCATCCTGTCCAGTTTCGTCTGAACATGCTCCCTCCTTCATCGCACGACGCCCAAAGCGCGCGACATACCGCCACCTTCGCCTCCTGAGCAATTCGTTACGAGACGACTCCGATTCTCACCATGGGCGACGAGGCTGACAGCAAGATCACGCGGGCGGCCGACCGTGAAGGCTCGATCCGGGAGGGCTCGACGGACGGGAACGAGATTGGGAATGACGGCAAGATCGATGCTTACGGCGACGAGGTGCACGTGGTCGACCACGAGGCGGAGAGACGCTTGTGTCGCAAGCTGGACTTCCGGCTCATGCCTGTGCTTGCCATCATGTGTAAGACAGGCACCAAGCGATCAGCACGTTGTTCGCGATCACTGACTTCGTCTACGCAGACCTGTTCAACGCCCTCGACAAGGGAAACATCGGAAACGCCGAGACCGACGGCATGAGTACCGACCTCGGCTTCAAAGACGGGCAGTACAACCTCATCGTCAGTATCTTCTTCGTGCCGTACGTCGTCGCGGCCCCGTTCGTCGCCTTCGTCGGCAAGAGGTTCGGGCCGGCGGTCATCCTCCCGATTCTCATGTTCACCTTCGGAAGCATGACGCTGCTCATGGCGGCTGTGCAGAACTTTGGTGGCGTCCTGGCGTTGCGATGGATCTTGGGCATGAGCGAGAGCGGCTTCTTCCCCTTGGTCATCTACTACCTGACGACGTTCTACCGCCGCGGCGAGCTCGCGAGACGACTTGCTATCTTCTATGCTGCATCGAACATTGTAAGAGACTTGCTCTCCCCGAAAACTCCCAAGGATAGCGACTGACAAAGGTTTTAGGCTAATGCATTCTCGGGACTCCTTGCCTTTGGTGTCTTTCACATCAAGAGCACGAGTCTGTACCCTTGGCGCTGGTTGTTTATCGTGGAGGGAACCGCCAGCGTTCTCTTTTCCATCTTCGCTTTCTGGTATCTGCCCCGGAGTGCTGCGGAGGCCAAGTTTCTCAACACTGAAGAGAAGCAACTTGCCTTTCACCGCATTCGAGTCGACAGTTCTTCAGTTGTCGGCGAGAAGATGAGCATCAAGGAGAGTGCAAAGGTCTTCAAGCACCCCAGTACAGTGAGACCAACCCGGAATATTTACACGAAATTTGGTTTGCATTTTCCCGCTGACCACTTGCTTGCCAGTTCGGCTTCCTTCTCATTGAGATCTGCCTTGGTGTTCCTCTCCAGAGTGTCAACCTCTTCATGCCTCAGATCATTCAGCGTCTGGGCTACAGCACCGTCAAGACCAACCTCTACACCGTCGCGCCTAATGTCACCGGAGCCTGCATGCTTCTCATCCTGGCTTTCCTGTCCGATTGGCGCCGCCTTCGGTTCCCATTCATCGCGTTGGGTTTTTCTCTGACGTTCATCGGCTTCATCATCTATGCCGCGATCGACGATGTTGAGAGGCAGATCAAGCTGGCTTACTATGCATGCTTCATGATGACGTGGGGAACTTCAGCCCCCAGTGTCTTGTTGTCAACGTGGTACAACAACAACGTTGTGAACGAGAACCAGCGTACGTCATCTATCAGCTATATTTACTCACCAAAAGCTGACTTGAAAATACCAGGTGTATTCTTGACCTCGATTGGTGTTCCGTTGGCAAACCTCATGGGTCTCGTCAGCAGCAACATCTTCCGCAAGCCCGATGCGCCAAAATACGCACCTGCACTGATCACGACAGCCTCATTTGGTGGCACTGGCATCCTTTGTGCACTGTCGCTGGGTTGCTTCATGATTTGGGATAACAAGAGGAGGAACAGGGCGCAGGGTGTCAACCTGACTGCCAGTGACGTGCCAACATCCAAGCTGAACGATGGGCCTAAGAGCCCCGACTTCAGGTGGTTCCTGTAAGATTCAAGGATATTGTCTAGGAGATGCTGGACTAGTATTGAAGATACACAATTGGAAAAGGCTTCATGTACCATGAACATCTGATTGACTCATTGACACTGACAAAGGCGCTCGTCTGCCTACTAAAATGGACCAGAAAGCGAGCTTGTGTAGATTAACATGATCAGGTTGAGATCTTCGTTGCTTGCCCTTTGCAAAATCTAGTACATCTGATTTCAATCTGTCTTGTCGTCCTAGTTGATCCGACCTGTTCCAGTCACCGCTCTGGCGCGTCACACGGTATCTGATCAGCGAGTAACAAACATTAAAGAACCATCTAAATGCTAACCAATCTCAAGTGCAGGCTAAGATGCCTCATCTGTCCCATTTTTTCCTAGGTATTGTGTCCTCATGCCTTCTTCATTCATATCACCTTTCTGAGAACCAACGGCCTACCCGATCAGTCGATCTTCATCACATCAATACTATTTCACGAACATTCTCTTTGCCGCCCCAAAGACTTCTTAACTTGGCTCGATATGCCTCCTTCACAGATTTCATGCTGTCCTTCTCAGTAGATCCTGGCGCTAATGGTTCCGTTCGAGTATGTTGTGAGTCCCACCAGCCAACACGAGACCATTTGTTGTTCTCTTCCTCCGCTACTATAATTCCTTCTAGAATTGACCAACCGGTTTGGACGACAATGAGTGCGCTCAACTTTGAAACAGAGTTCTGTTGCAATCTGGGGTCGTCGGGATAGTCAATAATTGCCGGCATCTCCATCCCCTCAACAATGATGACTGGTATCCCATTTTCAGCACTTATGGTTGGAAGTGGGATCCCTATCATCAAGCCACGCACACGAAGCTCGCCCTTCTTGACCTCACCAAATGGCGCATCGGCAGATACGAGCTGAATATCGTGACTCAAGATTTCGAAGTCTGGATCCTTCTGTTTCTCGAGATGCGTGTTGATCCATGTGACATCGTCATCGTAAGCCGACCAGCTCCATGTCGGTGTGGGCCTCTCGACAGGGCCAGGACGTCGGACTGGGTTCTTGTTGTCAATTTGAGCGAATTGTGAAGACCACAAAAGCCCCGATGGCAGATCTGATTTCCAAATACCACAGATGTACTTGTCTTTCAGAGCCACCGCAAACTCTTGCGCTATTGCAGATATTGCCGGCAAGCGATCGCTCTGATATGTTACTTTTCGGGTGCAATACATATCCACAAGCTCACACCAGTATTCGAGAAGCTCACTGGAGTTGAACTGGGCATCACCAGGGTTCTTGAGTATTTCCATCACATCCGAGAAGGTTTCTTGCTCCGCAATGCCATACCCAGGATGTGTGTGTGCCTTTCCGATGATCCAACCATCGCAATGCTGGACAACCTGTTCTCCACAATAGCAACTCCATGTTGTTAGATTATTCAGATACTGAAGGCGACGTCTTGAGAACAAGAGTTCCTGGAAGGTCCAAGCTCTAGTATACCACGGCTCGGGGTAGTCGAAGTGGTACGGCGTGAGAAGAATGGGGACTTGGACATAGTGCTTCCCACGCTTTCCGTATGCCTTGATTTTGAATATGGGCTGAGGCGCCGTCATATCTCTTGCCGGTCCAATAGTCGCATGCCGATCCCTGAGAAATCCTTGCTTCACGCCTTTGGCTGCCGAGGCAATGATTGTGAACGTAGCACACTGGTAAATGTTTCCCATTTTCCCCAGCTCTTTAGCTTTGAAGTCGTAATCGTCTTGTATGATGCAGAGGGCATCAATCCACAGAAACTGGAAGTTGAGTTACCTGGTAACTTTCATAGCGTCCTGGATCGTAGGGTCGAAGTGGTGTAGCTCTATTCCGGACATGAGATCGTTCTTGTTGCCGATGTTCAGCATCGTCTTCTGGATACCGACTCCCCAGCAGTACGACAGCGCAATGTATCGCTCCCTCATGTCTTGGGTGACTGAGACCAGCTTGACCTTTTGTTTGCAGGAAACATCCAGGAGAAACGATGGCATAGAGGAGGGTCGATCCTTGATACCACATTTGTGGTCAATCTCGCATTTCCTCAGCCAACTCTGAATCAGAGACATCGATCCCAAGCTTTCCGGTGTTGTGTTCGATGGAGAGCCGACGTAAGTCTGTCTGGCATCTCCGAAGTCTCCTAATATCGTTCTTCGGTAAGCAGTTGGTCATTCATGCATGATGAGCAGCTTACTTGCCTGGAAGTCCCAAGGCAAAGAACGACACCCAAAATGAAATCCATCGCACACTCTTGAATCGTTCTCCGGCTGGGTTAGGCCGCATAATGATGTTAACATCAACTTTTGCTGACTGGTCGTCATAGTCCCCCGGGTTGTCATCGTCGATATTTGTGTAAGCCAACAGGATTCTCACGAAGTCTTCTGCTACATCTGCGGCAACTGCCCCGACCGATTCGTCGTCGCGTGATGCGGACCGCCAGGGTAGTTTCCTCATGACTTGACATAGTCGTTGATACTCCTTCACCTTATCTTCTCCCATAGAGGCTGCGAGGGCTTCGTAGTGCACGTTTGACCAACGCCCGTCATGCTTCTGAAGGTTGTACTCAACTTTGCTGCATTGCTGCTCCAGCACCACCTTAAACGCTTCGAACTCCAGGCGCTCTTGGATCATGGTCCAGAAAGCGCACCCGGATGCTGCCATCTGTTGGACCTTACTGGTAGTCACGTCGAGCCGGAAATAGTCTTTCGACTTCGTAAAAGCGCGCTGGAAAGGCTCTGGAAGTGGCTTGACCAATATACCGATGCATTTGTCGCAAGAATGTTCCCCTGCATTAAGCGCCACAATAGCTCGCTTCAAATGAAGAATCTCGTAGTCAGTCTCGGAGGGAGGCCCCTGGTTACCTCTCTTCTTGGTCCTCATTGTACTAGAATCTCGAGCATCTCAAGATACTCGATTCCAGCCCGGCGATTGATCTGGTGCATTTTAGGCATGTCAGATCGAGGAAAGCGGAATCAGGCTATTCCCCCCTCCCTGGTGCTCGCTGAGCACATGATGTATGATCGCAGCCAGGCTGGCCAATGGTTGAATATGCGGGGCACTTCTGCCTAGATCAACCTACATGATGTCGTCAAATGCTCGCCAATGATTGTCGGCCCACACGTAAGACATTGGAAAAAGACAAAGAGCGAATTTACCGAGTGCATGGGAGAGTCAGAGGTCAGGTTGCAGCGGTTAAGATCCAATATTCCCTAAAGCCAACGGCAGGCCCATCATTGTCAATGTAGCTCTATGCACCCGTAGTTTGCGCAGGGTTTTCATGTCGACTGCCCTCCTGGTTCTTCGCCTCTCGCGTGAGAAGATAGACCCAGTATCCACAGCCCCCATACTTGGTATCGTCCTGGTAAGCCTTGTGAACTTCTCTGAGCCCCTGCCTTTTGTAGATATTCACAGCAGCCTCAAATGATAAGATGAAGACGTCAGCTCCCATTTCCTCGGCAAGTCGTACACCATGCTGAACGAGAGCAGTCGCAACACCCTTGCCCGTGCTATCGGGATGAACAGCCAGGTAGTCAAGACCTATAGCACGGTCAGACTCCATCACACGATGAGGAGCTGGGAAATGTCAATTCCCCGATGGACATTCTTCACTTACTGATGTACCTGCCCTCAGCCAAGATGCGCTCCTTCTCGGGGCCGCAGTCATTGATGCCGTCCATGCTGTAGGGCTTCCACCATGCGCCGTCGCTTCGTTCCTTGATGGCGTTCCTCTCCTCCTCGCTTACATCGGGAATCTGCGCATCTGCCCATTCCGGTGCATCCGCGTATTTGGCGGGCAATTCCCAGCGTGCGTAGCCCACGAGAGCACCCGTCTCGGGATCAATTGCCTTGAAGTGACGTAGCGTCTCGCGATTCTTCAGGAGGTTGTTCGGCATGCGCTTGATGACTTCGCCAATGAGAAAATCGAGTTCGATATTTTGAATCGTCCAGCCGAGTTTCCAGTTTTTGTCCGTCGCCCAGAAGGCGTTCATGTTGTTTCGCGCCAGAGCCGGAGCATCGGCGAGTGTGCAGGGCACAATCTTCCAGGCAACCATGATTCTAGGGTTAACTGCTAGCTGCTAACTTACCCCAACGGGCAGGAGTTGATTTGTTGTAGGAGCTTGACGCAAAATTAACCTTTTGGTAGAGTTTTCATAAAGTGCGCTAGGACGGATCACCATAAATGCTCTTTATCGCGCCCATTTGTTGTTTCTTGGATACGTTCAAACACGCTGCGCTCTACGTGGCCTCCTTGAAGCCCTGCCGGTTATCCGGACTGGGATGACGCTGCGGAATATGACACGTTTACGACCAGTCTCCTTTTGGTAGGCAGGAGGCCTCCCCTTCGATGAGAACACATCTCCTCCCGAAGATCTCGAAACAGTCAGCTTCTTCAAATGACGCATGAAGAAAACTGGTACGGTCCAAAGTGATATCTCTTTCTGGAATACTTGGTGTTTTTTGGCCGGATTGCTGTTTCCCCCCCCGGAAGCCGTGAGCACACAAGCGGGCCGTCAGTGAATTCTCAAACTTACATGACACCCGGTTCGGGACTTTGGTATTGCGACCCCACAGCAAAGCTGGAAGATCAACCTAATTCCCACGCGTAAGCACTCAAATGAGCTTTCGAATTTTGACTACCCTGGGAGCTTGCGGAGGATGTAAGTTCATATATGGAAGATCACGCCCGGAGATCGGCATCGGCGAGCGGGATACAACACCGATGTTGGTGGGGCCGGCCCGGTTTCTTACTCGGGAACATGCACGATCTTTTCAAATATTGTCATCGCTTGAATAAAAGCTGTTGCACTGGAGATTTCAATTGAGGTTGACACATACAAATAAGAAATGGTCTAAGTTGAGTGTCTGAAGAAGTCGGCCATAGTGCCCAACTGAGCCGAGGGAAATGAGACCAGCCGCCAGCGCCCGAGCCTGAGCTCATTGTATCTAAATTCATTCTAACTTCCCTTAATATTTATCAGGGACAATGGGAGTCTTCAAATTGCACGGTTGTAACCCGAACGGCCGTCTGTCTCTGCAGCCTTGTTGTACCCAGACCGACCGTCTTCCTCACGCTTGTTATACCCAGAGCGTCCATCTGTGGTAACAACTGTGTCTCCGTTGTCATTTCGACGGTTGTAACCAGATCGGCCGTCAGTGGTAACAGTGCCCTCTTCAACACTGTTGTATCCAGATCTTCCATCTGTCTCTTCCCGCTTATTGTATCCAGAACGGCCATCGGTAGAGACAAGGGCTTCGACGTTGTCGGTGCGAATGCGGAGACTCGAGCTTTCTTCGTTGACAGCGAGCATCGCTTGTGGGCTCCTATGGTTTCCAAGGACGATTACGTTGTTGTTGATCTATTGCAGAGTTAGCATGATAAATCTTACATGGTTACTTCGTTGCTTGAAGAAGGAAAAGAAAAACAACTTACCGATGACAAAAGACTGTCAATTCTTAAGACTTCAACAACCAAGGCACAAAAGACCAAGGAGATAACGACTGCGCCAAAGGCAGAGCGACGCCCATTGCAACGGTTGTTTGAGGTCGGGGCCGACACATGGGTCGGGAGAATAGGGCCCTTTTCCATAGTTGACTGATAGATTATGGTGTTGATACGATGTGTTTGTATGGATGACAGAAACGGGCTGTCGATGGAATCAAATGGGACTTGACTGAGTTAACGAAATGTGAAGACGTTATGTTTGATTATTTCTACAAGACCATTAAAGCGCGGAAGATGATTCATTATAAATATTCTTTCAAACAACAGGCTACCATCATTTACCACAACGAGGCAATCGCGTACAAAGTCTATGGGGGCAATTAGTGAGGCACAGCTGAAGACCCCATCGCTATTGCGCCCGAGTAGTCAAATGACACAGCCTCCAACAGTAGCCCCCATGCAGGCTGGACTCTAAATCGTGGTCTACGATGACATCTTTCGGTCATGCCGGAAGGCAGCAACATTTGTTCAATATTGAGCCGACCGATGAGCATGCAGATATTGTGTGACGCCCCCAACCCAAGCGCCCGGTGAGGTAAATGTAAGATTCGCCAAGCTGTGAGGTCCAATACGCCACTGTTTCCCACCAAAATCTTGGGCCCTGGCACCAACAGCACCAACAGCGCAAGTTATCGCCTTCTCAGGCGGACAACCCCCGTTGAAGAGAGCGCCAATTCTAGTTCCTTGTCGACCAGGATTTGCGCCTCTTGACAGGCTACTGGGTCGGGATCTGATTAGGTGTGTCGGATCTTGCTCACCGGGGGCCAGGCCCGGCTCTGGACAAGGCATTGTAGTGCGAGTGTGCCAGCTTCCAACGAACCAACAGTGAGGTTCTAGCAGTGTTCAGAGTACCTTTCTATCGGCCCCCAAAAGTCCTTCCAAGACGTGTGGGGGTTCTTACTGGTGACCCGAGTGAAATTACTGTTTAACGACTTACGATGCATGATACGACGACACCGAAGGCGGCAACGTCGCATCGATGGGGGTGTTCGGCGCCAAGACGTAAGTGCGAGTTTACCCACGTGCTGCGCCTGGTAAACATGTGCGTGATAAGCCCATCATCATGCAGGACGACCTTCAGCTGGCGCGGGCTAGACTTGTTAGGGAAATGCGCGTAGTTGCCAATAAGATTTGTGGTGGTAATCCGGGCGAACTGCAACATTTCTCAATCCTGCGTCCTTCAGCCCTATGGAGATCGAGACTTGGTGTTACCGGAAACTTCAATCGCTCTCTGCAGGCTTCGGTGGATATAGGAAGGAGTTCCGGTGTGACATGTCTTACTAGTGATTGGCAGGGTTTGAGTACGTCGACGCCAAGGGCTGGCAGGCAGACAGTGTGATGAGAAAGATGGGCTGATAGTCATCTGCCCGGGCTTCACCAGGCTGTGTGCGAAGAGGTTCCCCTTTTGGGGATCAGGCATGATACCATTGTGAACCATGGAAAACTTGGAATCAGTATCGAATTAAAAAGAAATGGTATCTTCTCCGAAAATGGTCAAATCCGTTCAATATGGTACATAACATCCTCCTCCGGTACAGGTACATATGGCTACATGTTTGGAGGCTTAGACGGCGTCTGGGGAGACGATATGTCATCCATATCGAGGTTGTCCAGGTCATCAAACTCGCTCAAATTGTGCGATAATGTAGACCTCTTACTCCTGGGTGTCATGTTTGAATTGGCGCTTCCTGTGAGGGCCGAGTTGAGGCGCTTCTTCTTTTCTGACTGCCCAAGAATGAATCTGACAAAGAACTGGCGCAAGTTGGGTATGCAGGCTGTGAATACCCCCACATACAGCTCAATGTCGGACCAGATAACACTTGGCATCATGGCGACTGCATGTGTTAGTTTTATGGAACGGCACACTGTGTTGATTCGGCTTTGGCACATACCAGTCGGATTCAAGGGGTACTTCTTGAACTCCAAAATCTGCGTGATGCGGTAGCAGCACACCACAGTAAGGCTTGGCAGTGTCAGTCAAGGTGGTCATCTTGAGTGGGCAAGCTCGTGGCAAGTACTCACAATAAGCCGAGCCCAAACATGAACATGATGGCAAACTTCTTCTTTGTGGCCAGGTTCATGTTCCAAATTTGCGTCGCCGGTATGATGAGCATCCAGACGTCCAGAGCAATGTTGATGCCCGCATGTGCAAGGGCGAGCTGCACAATATCAATGCACTTTCCAGTCACCTCTCCTGTCCAGAACTTCCAGGCCAGGCTAATGGGCTGGCATTGAAAGAGGCCGACAAGAATAAAGATGATTCCATTCAGGATGTTGAGAATCAATGTGACCCAGAGAACGATGCGCACCTTTTCGCCGGGCAGGTGGAAGATTCGGAGGTACATGAAAAGAATAGAGGCTTTGATCAGGTCGATGCAGGAGTGGTAGAGGACTTGGAGAGCATAGAAAGCCTGAAGGTTGTCAGTCCGGTGATTTAGCCTGGAACACACAGGCGAAGTACCTTGAAGAAATTCATGATCTGACGTTCGTTCAAGGTCCAGAGGTCTTTTCCAGCTCCATTATTTTCGACTAGAATTTTCGTCAGCGCAACCTGCAGCGGATGGAAAACAGTTGGAGACTTACGGTAAAAGTGAAGCGACACGTATCCGAGTAGAATGACCTTGTGACATTTCAGTCATCATTCTGATGAATGTTCGTTTTACAGCTTCGACTTACATATGACACAAGAATGGTGTAATCATCCCAGCCCCATGGCGAAAGTCTTGCAAACTTCGTGACGACTCGGAGAATTACGGATAGCGTAGGCAGAATGGCGAACAGGACAATGCGTACGATCTTGGTAGCCTGTACTTCGTCGTTTAAAGGAAAGTCGCAGGCGGTCCAAGTTATATTCTGCGTTTCTGGGAAATGTTAACAACAGCAACAATAAATGTGAATTAACGTTTCAGAAATCCATACCCAGAGCGCCTATTAGCGGGCAGCTTACGAGAGAACACCCCTCTACGTATTTGATGTAATCTTCATCCTGGCAAAGACAGGTTTGGTCCCCGGGAGAACAATTCGTCTGATTCAGTCCGTCCAGCAGACATGGAATCTTCGATAAAAGTCAGTGGAGAACTCTTTGGAGACGTAGGAAATTGTGCTCACAGCGCATGGTGGGTTGTCGTCGAGAGATAGACCAGGGATATCGGGAAGGTTAGTCGGTGCGGGGGGCCGTTGAGCGAGGATCGTCGTCACGGAAAGAGCGAGCAAGGCGGGGAAGAGACTCGTATACATTTCGATGAAGCCGTAGGTCGATGTGGCTCCGACCGAGCGATGCTGTCGAAATGTCGTAATACTTCGATATCGTCTCCGAGCCCAACTCTGATAAGCCACTTGTTTACGGACTTTCGTAAAGCGCCAAGAGCGTCAAAATAGTTGCATCAAGATGACGTTCCTATATATATCGCGAGGAAAAAGCACTCGTGGTAAAGATGAATGCCCTTCACGACGTGGGTTCTTTTTGTTAAAGGACCTGCCTCCGCCCGTCCGTTCTGCGTGGCTTGCAAGACATTGATGAATCCAACCATGCTCAGAGACCCGATTGCAGTGGCCTGAGATATGGTTCCGGGCCCCGTGTCTTGGAGCGGCATTCTCCATCGCTCAGGAACTGGGCGTAGGGTGGCATCGGATGGAGTCTCGATTGATGGCCCGAGAATGAATTGGGTTTGGCGTGGTCAGGCAAGACCCTTTATTTGGGTGATCTGTTGAGACGTTTGCGGATGTTCCAGGGCTGAGGCGGCTTACATACTATCGGCGGCTCGCCGTAGTCACGCGAAGACATCCGACTGACGACGATTGCCCCTCAAGCCACATATTGAATGCATCGTGGCGAAGGGGCGGGGGTTGATTGGAGGTCAATGGCAAGGGAGACTAGAGAAGCTATTTGGCTTCATTCTCATTCGATTCATTCCACAACTTCAGCCTTAAGCACGTCTTCCAGAACCGACCTCGAGGCAACCTTTGAGCATTCCCGATGAGTATAAATGCCTGACGATCTGTCGGCAAATCGTCTATCATCCAAACTAGCAATACCACCGATCATTAACACCAGCATTAAAAGCCATGCAGATTAGCACTGATGGAAATTGGAAACAAGTCTATCAGTTCGCTGATGGGAATCTATAATCATGAAACTCCGGCTGGTCAATGAACGAAGGAGACATGAAAAAGAGGTGGTAGGCCAAGTACCGTGACCCCTCAGCCGCCCACCGTTCCCTCTTTCTCATGCTGTACTTTAAGCTTTTTCTCCGTCTTCATAAACTCGCGAATGCCAACCGGAATATCCCCATACAGCTTCTCGTCCCACATGTCTTTGGCGATCTTGGGGTCTTTCGGCACCCAATTTGTTTCTGAACCGCCGCCGTCGTCATCTATGCTCATCGTATCCGCAACAGCTTCTCCCTTATCTTCTTGTTGTTCCCTCAGCTTCAACTGCGCCTCCGCGTTCGCCGCCGACCATTCTTCCATCTCCTCCCTGAACCGGTCCCAAACGCAATTCACACAGCCGCTCATACAGCAATTATCAGGCTCCTCGGGCTTTGGGGGTATTACGACCCCTGCGACCGTCGTACTCTTGGCGCGCATCTCTTCGAGGCGCTTCTTGCGCTCGGCAGGCCCGGCGAGGGCGGAGCCGAAGACGATGGCGGCCTTCTCAGCCGCGGTTTGCGGGGGCGGCGTCGGCACCGGCTGTGCAGAAAGAGCTTCAGCAGAGGGTTCCGGGTGGGACGGGGAGAGAGGCGAGGTCTTACGGCCTTGCTGCTCCTCCTGCTTGGCGGCGGAGGACGAGGGTGGCTCCTCGGGCTTCACGTCGGGGATCGGCTGGGGGCTCGTGAGAATGGACTCGTAGTAGGCGCCCAGCGGGTGTGCCTGGGGCTTGGAGGGCTCGATCGGATCGGGACCCGTCTGGGCTTGGATGGTAATGAGGGCATTGCGAGGAGGGCGCGCAATGCGAGGCACCAAAGGCCTGAGGCGGGGGAGGAGTCTACCAGGTGTCGACATTGTTGCTGGTGTTTTGTATCGAAGGTCCTTGGTCCAATTCAAGGGTTGGAATTGGAGAGTTGGACCTTTTGGTGGCTGCTGAG